TAACCAAATAAAAAAATACAGGATGACTCAGCCATCAACATTTGCATAATAGTGTGAAAACACAGAGGGAGGGAGGGAGAGACATGCCCCTATGAATTATGATAAACTTGGCATGATTTTACGATCATGATACATGAATCATGCCACAACTATTATTATGAAAGAATATCACTCAAAGCTAGAAAGCATACCGAATGTGTGATATCCTCAAGAGAATCAACAATGCAGTGAGCATAATCATAACTTGGATAGATACACCACTTGTCTCCAGCATGCGGATGGGGTGTAAACTGCAATAAGAAATTCACAATGTAACTATTAGGATGCCCATAAACTTGAGTAATCAGAAGAATTATTTAAGGTCCACACTTGCCTTGATACGATATGCAATAAGGTCATACATGTTATAATTATCACTCTGCATGTCTTGCTTCATTCTAAGGGTTGCTTTGCCTTCTTCAATTAGGCCTCGTCTCATATCCTCAAAAAGTTTTAATGACTCTGCAATTGGCCTGTCCCGCCAAGGGCTGTTCATTTTTTTCTCCCTGTACTCCTTTATCTCATCCGCTGTCTGAAACCAATGTTGATTTGTAAATAAAAACAATGTCATGAACACAAAGCAGAAGTCAACAATTGATAGTACCACACTACCAGAGAGGATTGTATGCATGTAGAAAACTAAATTATCCCAGTGTACAAAACAATTTTCCAATTAAGTTTGAACAAAACCTGATGATCAACATAAGCGTGACCTCTTCGTATGAGTTCCACTGCTAAATCGTACAGATCTTGAAAGTAATCACTGGTGTAAGTAATCTGCAGAAATCAAGCAGGTGTCAGCTGGCACAAAGACAAAAAACACTGTCAAGAAGACGTCCCAATCAACTTTTTTACCTTGTAGGGCTCCCAACCCATCCACTTCACGATTTCCTGTATATGATCAATATATTCTTTCTTTTCAGCTTCTGGGTTTGTATCGTCAAACCTAAAAGTGATAAAGTAGGAATCAAATTTTAAAAAAGTACAGATAAAAAGTTCTTTCCCTTTCAAGTTAAAGAACATTTACGAAATTTGAAGGAAGATTATAAACTTATGCGACAGACAGTAGTTCAAATATGTTATCCTGGCAAATCAGAAATATTGTAACATTGTAACACATTCTCTTAGTTCCAGATATTGCAAACAAGAAATTCAGGTAAGATTATCTTCAGTAAATAATACAAAAAGTACATGTACATCATATGTGATCAAACAAATTTTGGCATCACCAACCATAACAAAATAATCAATGATATGTTTTCATGTCTGTTTTGTTTTTCCCTCCTTAATGGGAAATGAAAAGTAAATTGTACTATAAAAGCTGACAAGGAGTGACACTCACCGTAGGTAGCAGCCTCCATCCCTCTCTTTTGCCAGGCCAAAGTCAATAAACATTGCCTAATCAATAATTACGATAATTATGAGGAACAATTACAGACAAAGCAAACACTGAATCTATCCTAGAACACAAATATATTTACCTTGGCATGACCTATATGTAGATACCCATTCGGTTCAGGAGGAAAGCGGGTCAAAACTTTCCCTCCAGTCTTGTTTAAGTGTTTCTCAAGCAATTCCCTTGTATTGGAACATCTCAAAATAGAACCATCACTAAAGAAAACAGAAGTATGAACCTGAAAAATGACAACAGGGTAACAAAATGTCAAGCATAAATGAAAACACTTTTTGTTTTTTCAGTATTTTGTCTTGACTCTAAATATTACCTTGTACAAACAGTTGGAGGTATATTGTATTACGGGAAGAAGAACAAATAAAAATGGAAGTGCATACCTTATAATTATCTGATGGCTGAGGGAATATCGAGTATGGATTAAGAACTTCTTCAGATGCCTGTTCTGGAGTAGAAACAGCAACAACTTTTTCCTACACAAATGGAAAGGGAGGGGAAGGATTCACAGTGTAGAGAGGTCATCAGTCACCTCTTAATAGGTTTCAGGAAAAATGCAGAAACATGGGAAAAATACTAACCTCTACTTTAGCAGGCTTCTCTTTCTTCTTTTTTGGAACCTTCTCATCATCTGCTGCTGTCCTTTCACCAAGTAATTCACGCAATTTTGCATCAATAAATTGCTGTCACAGAAAAAGATATGGCAATCAGAAATATTTTAGTGCAAAAATGTCTGCCTATCACTTACTTTTTCCGTTTTTCTATTAAAAAAACCCAAGAAAGAAAAATCTAACAATAAATACAAAGCGAAGTAAAATAAGATCACCTTTACAATTTTTGGATCAGCCCACGGATGCCTCTTCCTAACGTGTGCAAACAAATCACCCACTAGATGAAACAACAGAATGTGAAGTTCAGTAGTTTCAAACACAACATGCTAATGCAACACATAAAAGGAGATACGAAAACTTTTATTATGAATTGGGGGTTATAGTCAAAATTTAACAAGAACACAGTTGCGCGGACACCACACAATTCGGAGCAACTGAGGATCCGACAGGAGAGATACAACCCAACAAATTAATGGGTGAGAAGCAAGCATACAATGACAATCACACAGGAACCTCCTCCCTTGACTAAATATTTGTTGTATTCACATACACAGGACCGTACAAAGGATCATATTGGGTAACCCTACCTCTCTCCCTGAAAGAGGAAAGATAATTGTGCAAGAACATGTGTGCGACATGTCCAATTTCTCAAAACCAAAAGTACTTATGAGGCTTGAAGAACCATCAAAGAGCCAGAAGAAATAATAGCAATCAACCAATCTACAGTATTCTGGATGTCTCTATGTGTATCATCTGTTTCCCTTGTGTGTAACTAGAAATGCCTGGGAGGAAGAAAAAGTAAAAACTAACCATTTGTTCTATACCGCTGCTCCAAAATTGCAGTCTTATTCTCCTCAAAAACCTCATTAACAGTTTGTTTTATTTCTTCTTCGGAAACTTCAACACCTGCTTGCCAAACACAAAGGTTAAATGTCTATAATTGTAGAAAGAAAAGAGGTTACTATTAACTAACATGATACAATTAATTCAAATTGAGACAATCTAAGTGAAATGCAACTAGCAGAACAGATAAATGGAATCACTAAGAACTTTCATTAAATTCCAGACAGAAACATTAAAGTAACAATTTCAAAGCATGTTCAATGTATGTCCCAATTTATCTTACCAACACCACAAGCTTCTTCAAATTTATGAATATCAAAATTCTCTGGCCCCCTCGTTGCAAGAAATGAAAAAGCTGCTTCTAACTGGGCAGGGGTTTTAATCTGTAACATAAAAACCGTGTAATGAGTTCAAAGAAAAAGTAATTCAATAATCAACTGCAAGAATTATAAAACAGTATGTACTTTAAAATCAAAACATTAAGAAGGTATGGGCACCAACCTTTGACGATACAATGTATTGCGCCAATTTTGGGCGATGCACAATGGCATTTGCTGGGTGCTTCGTGGCAACCTGCCATAGATGATACAACACCAAGTGCATATAAAATCATTAACATTTATTCACTGTCATTGATATTTATTCAAACAAAGCTCCATGCAACTTCAAAGTCCGTCATCCAAAAGCACCCTTATGGAACTATGACCCGTTTCGAGACAGACGGAGCTAAAGTAAATTCTACAAGGCTACAAATGACACTAAAATTTACTGGATTAATAGCTTAATCAAGAATGTTAACACATGGCTTAAAGTTAAACTACTGACCGTGTAGAGGAGATTACCAACTGTTCGACTGCATCCTTCAGCAACCGCCGCCTGAAATTATTCAAAAAAATAAATAGCCAAAACATAAATCCGCGGGGTTCTAAATTGCAATATTGCATGCAATTGAATCGGTAGATACACAAAATGAAAAGAAGAAAAATCAACGAGGGAGTACCTCGTGAATGACGGCGGTGAGATTGGCGGTGACTTTGTTGTTGGCGATGGTGTTTTTGGCCGTTCGCTCGTCCAATCCGACCTTCAGGAAGAGATCGAGGTTCTTCTCCTTCTCGGAGGAGGAGCCGCCCTCGTCCTTGCCGGGCATCTCTGAAACGGGAAAGGAGCTTTTAAGGATTACGGAGCGAGCCTGCGCGTGACTTTCTAGGGTTTAGTCAGGGGAGGGCGCCAAGCAGACGAGATAGCGGAGAGGGAATCGGATTGCGGCGGAGGGACTCTGGCCGGGAGAGAACCTGTGGTTTTCGCGTTTCTGTGGGCTTAAGCTTTGCTTGGAATTGGATTGTCATAAACCCATTTAACCCACCTGATAAACTTGGGCTTCAAGCAACCCGACCCGTTAGTAAAACAGATTTATTAAGTGAAATGATAGCGTCGGTGAGTTAAACAATTAGCTGTTAAGAGAAGGAAAGTTGGTGGAAATTGAACATGCACAACGATGTATATGTATAATTACTTTCCGTCATTCTGGTAAAGTGTCCATCTTCACATCCTTTTTGTTTTTTTTCCTAGAAAATATCATCAGCCATTACTTGATTTTTCCATGTCCAACTTGAGCTTCAAGCAGCTCGAAGTTCTGCTTTTCCTTTTCTTCTGGAGATTTAATTTTGAGATAGTTCTTTTTTTTTTTTTTTTTTTAGCTACAGAGGGGCCCAAAGCCCAAGCAGACCCACTAAATAAAGAAAGACATCAGCCAATGGGCTTACACAAACAACTCGAGTCCTAACAAACCCGAAATACCATCTAGAAGTAGACCAAAAATTAAAGGAGGAGGATCATCCAACATAATACAACTCAGGTTCAAAGGAAAACTCAGCTTTGCCAAACCATCAGCCACCACTTAAATCACATTGACCAAACTAAGAACGGTGAATTCATTTAACTTGGTTGTGAAAATTGTAATAAAAAAAGTTAGATCCCAATTGTTTTCTACTACCGAAATGTATCTTGACGTGATTTATTCATTTATGAGTCAGTTGTTAGAGGCAATTGGTATCAAAATCTGGTTTCAGCAAGCAAACTAAGCCCAAACTCCACAGAAAGAGTCAAATGGCAAAAGAACGGCCGAGTTATAGAATTTATAAGAATTGGAAAGGATAAATAAAATTAATGTAAAGAATTAAGGAGCAAATATTACATCAGGATGTGGCTGTATAAAATCTAGTTCGTATTTTTCTTCTTTCGGATAAAGAAGGAAGAATTCGAAGTACCTGCGGACTACGAATCCCCAAAAAATCTGCTGTTCACTCCCACCCTATACAATTGTAGTTCTGTTGATTTGGCGGTAATGCTAATCTTCGTGTTGGCAGGCACAAAGAAAACCTCACCCTCTTCAACTAAATCATCACCCTCCACCACTATATCATCCTCAGGCAGACTTGCATCAAAATGTCCCTTCCCGGCTGTAAACATGAAAAGAGATGGTCCTAGGACTGAAGGAAAAACCACCGATGCAGAGCGAGGAATGTTACAGCAGTCGACTTCAAATTCTTCAAAAGGTGGGAGATACCTTGTTGTGTATGGATTCAAAGAAACGCCTTGCATAATTTCTGGAGAACCCTGCAAAACAACGTAGACAGATTAGATGCAGCTCATACTAATAAAATAAAATAAACATATGAAATCCCCAAGGCTCAGTCATACAACATTCAGCAATCATACGAGCAAGAGAAAAAGCAGTTGTGAAGCAAAAGCAAACAAGAATTTAGGACGCTCATCTCCTCCAAAAGACGTGATGGCATCCAGCCAAGCATCTATGTATGATACAATTAAAAAGTCAAGGCAAATGCGTAAACCTAATGTTCTATTGGACAACAGTGACAGATCTCTATAGAAACGGAATGAGACAATCTGGATAATCGAGAATCAAAATTTCTGATTACCTGTCTGTATTTGAGCATAGAAAGAAGTGTTTGAACATCCAGTGGTTTTGAAGTAAGGCCGGCACGGACAACATTGTCAGAAGTTGCCATACACTCTATGCATTCACCAGAAATATATGCATGAGGTTCATTCGGCCCAAGACTAATTGCTTCACCACGGTTCAGCTTCACATAGTTAAGAAAAAACGCTGCTATTGCACCAACGTCATCTGGGTATTGACTCTCCAATCTGAGTACCAGTTGTTCTTTAACCGTCAAAAGCCTTTTCTGGTTCAATGAAAGAGAGAATATTGTAATTGAAGAAAACCTAGTGATGCATAAACATGATGGATAATGGTGGAACCAACGTTACTTTCAAATTGGGTATATACTGATAGTAGCACATCTAACTCTGATTTTAGTTACTGTGGGTTATATCCTTCAATTCGATTAGAAGAAAGCAAATATTTAATGGCAACATTTGCAGCTAACACAACTTGAATTTACCTTTTTCTCTAAATTAAGACGTCTTTTCAGTCTAGAAATCATGTCAGCAATTGTATCTTTACTTAGTAACATAAGTCGAGTGAAGATGGACTCTATATCTGTTTTTGCTTTCCCATTCTCATGATGCTCACTACCAAGTAGAATTCGCTCTGCATCTGCAACTACAACCAATTCTGCAATCTCCGGAACACTATTAAGCATGTCCTTGAGCTCCTGGAATATATAAGACATGCAATTAAAAACAAATGAATAAAATGGAATAAGGGAAATCGTTTGATAACTATAAAAGAATGCAATTAGTTTATAAGTTATTTCTTATTTCATGTTCCTTTATGTCCTAAACATTGGTTTACTTCTTAATTTGCTTATGTATCCTCTCTTACCATCACATGGTTCATATGAATACGTTTTATAAAATCTTTATAAGTTGAGGGTAAAAGGTGAAATGCATTTCAGGTTCACTTGAGAAAGTTAAAAACTTGATTTCAACTGCTTCTTTACTTATTGTTTTCAACTACATTCCTTTGCTTCTTTACCGCAAGACAACTTCCGGTGGAACTGAGTGCTAAAGCTAAAAGCAACAGTAAAGTTTATGCTTCCTTGTTAATTACTACGGATCTGATCCATCGCAACTATTATCGACAATTTTACGAGAAATTGATACAAAACACCATCTAATCGTAGCTACACTATTAGAAAGATCAAATTCACTACAAGCACAAGAACTAAATGGCATCGAATGATGTTACGTATTTTACCTTGACACTGATAAACCCACAAAGTGCCTCGAACTCCGTCAATGCCAATGCCATTTCAGGCTTGTGATTGTCATCTCTATAAACATTTGGGTGTAACTTGTGCAACACCCTAGCCAGTTCTTTATCCGGATGAGCCTGTATCGACAACGCCTTCCCAACCGAAAGCACCTACAATCCACAACAATCCCAAAACTCCATAATCTTGCCGAGGAAATCACTAGCATTTTGCAGGGCAAAGTTCTAAATCTCAGATTCACAATGTATTACCAGATAACAAGAACAAAATGCAAACACAACACACACACACACACTATCATTTGCTATTCAATTTTCTTTTCTATATTCAGCATTTTCTCAGCAACCAAACAACAAACAGAAACCATACCTTAAACAAGAACGGAAGATCAGCACCCCACTTGTCAACCACCTTGTCGCCAAGCACACCGGGATCCTGCGAGATCCAGGCCTTGAGACTCAAGGGCTCCGACCCGGAATCCGCATAGGACGGACCAGATTCATGAGTCCCGATCCAGAACTCGGCGTACGGTCTGCCCGAGTCGATGTCGGACCCGGAATTGAGCGCGAAAAGCCTGGCGACCTTGGAATTGCGGCCGAAAATACCCCAATCGTAATTCTTGACGGAGCATCTCAGCCTGACGGGGCGGCGGATCCGCTTGCGCTTCTTCTTCATGTTCTTGTCCCACGGCGGCTCCATTTTCTCATTTCGGTCCTATATATGATGCACCGAATCGGCCCAAATTGCAGGGAATAAAAAGACGTTCTGGAGGGAATTTGAGGTCGTGTCGTTTGTGGAAATCTGCAGGGTAACCGATAGTCAACCGTCAGCGTCGTTCCGCTGGCGGGTCGGATCCGGGTCTAGATCTGACGACTTTTCAATTCAATTTTTCTGCTGTGACTTTTTTTTGGTAAAAGCCGCGTCGCGTCTGAGGGGCTGTTTGGGTATTTTACGTGTGGTTCAGTTGCAGATATTTATGTTGGGTAATTAAGGGTTTATATATTTTTAATGCGTAAACGACAACGTTTGGTGGGTCGGAATCTAGCTCCGTTTTACTTAACTACCACTTTCTGGGATATGCTTGAATAGATTCCCAAACACTGACCACGTGGGTTGACCAAAAACATTGTCCATGTGGGGAGGTGGGACGAGGAATGTACAAACCCAGCAAATTAAGGGGGACTGACATCATGGTACGTGGGCCTATATCATGCTACTCTGAATAATTTGAGTTTAATGCTAGTTCAATTGAAGTTTTGGTCCTTAATTACAATTTCGTGAATATTGATTTCTGAACTTATAATAATGTAGAGCAATGATCGTCTTTAAATTCTTTATTTTGGATGAATGTTCTAACAAAAATTATTAGTGTTTCACACTAACTTTTAGCTCATGAACCAAAACTCCAAGTGGACCATGGTTCAAAGACCATTACTTTAATTTTCCCTTCACTATTAACCTAAAGATCGGGAAGTACTAGTGATTTCTTGGAGGAATCCTTATCATTTAGGTCAATAGTGGTACTAGCGCATGTGTCCAAATTGTCATTGGACGCGAATAAGTGTGTAACACATTAGTAGTGAATCACTAATAGTTGTGTCAATTTGTGTTTGTGCATAGTTTGTACTTGCACATTCATTCTATGATTACAAGTTGTGATCGCATTAGTCGTGCGTAACCGCATGATAAATAATGAGATCATCTTTATTTTGATCAGATGTAACTTTAGTTTTACCCCATGTGAGCTCTATCCCAATAAACCAACACTATGGAAGTCTCTTTTGTGTGGGTGCTCATCATGGATCCCACTTTAATCTAGTGCTAATTCATGTATAATTCTTGTTGGCTTTATGTTGAGAGCGATGGAAGGATTGAAGTCTAATACAAGTGCTTAAAAGATTTTAAGCCTCTTCATACTTTGCCAACTAATTTCATGTTAGACGCTAACATTCTAACATAATATTTATGTGATTAGGTCCAACGGTCCCATATGTTCCTACATATCAAATTCAAACTATAAAATGTTAAGCGCAAAAAGCGTCATCCAATAATAGAGTTTAACATACGTACTAAAACAACTGAGTCTCTCAACATATTTTTGCGTTGAATACTCTCACATCCTAACATGATCACATACTTTTGCTTTAAGGATTTGTTTATAGTTGACTTATGAGCCTCAATCACCCATCATTCTCCTAGCTTTAGGTTTAGATTTGGTACAACTTCATTGTGTCATTGCCCTAATAAGGTTGGAGTCCAGATCCTTTTTGTGAGGATCCCGGAGATTCGTAAACCGTGTTCATTCATCGTATATTGTACGGTCAGAAATCATTTTAAATATTTTTATTTAAAAAATAAACATAAACAATACTTGACAAAAACTGATCGCACGATATACGATAAACGGATACAATTCACATATCCGCAGGATCCTCACCAAAAAAATCTGCAGAGGATCCTGTTGGATAAGGTTGCACCTAGCTTGAGCAGAACAAATAATGCCTATACAAAACAACATTATGGGGCTAACTCCCAAATTGACCCTACCTCGCGTGACACATTATTGTTGCCTCATCAAATCATCAATATTCTGCCAACCAATTAGGCAACAAATCCCACACCTTTGCTTTACTTCTCTAAATTATTTTTCATAGTTATGGATCTGGAAGAGGGCGAGTATTGGCACAACAGAAAATTTGTTTTTTTTGTGATCGAAAAGTCATAGGTTCAAATCGTAAAAATAATCTTTTTGTAAAATAAGAGTAAAGATGCATGCTATGATAGACTCTAACAGATTAAGAAACCTTGTTGGCTTGGAGTCGTCTTTTAGTTTTGAATTTGGAACTTGTTGAATTGGATTTCTAATCCAAATGGCAACCGTTTAGATCTGAATGTACCTTCTGTCTGAACATAAAAAATATATATTAAGATTAATCAACTAGATCCACCCCAAAAACCAGTTGCTTTCCCATGCAATTTTTGTTCCGTTTCATGCAGAGATATCAGAATTTTGGGTTTTTATAATCTACAGAATATACATAATAGTACTAGATAAATATTCACATGGATTATTACTGATTGAGTTCAGAAATGAAGCCGAATAGCAGGCTCCTAATGGACAATCTAATCAGATGGCTCCTGCCAAAATTTTATTTTCTTTATCTGTGCACTTCCGTCCATTCATTCATAGGCGCACCTTCCTATCAGCTTGGTTGTGATTGGCGCATTTTAATCATACAAATGTCATAATAAAAGCTATTAAGTTATTTAGTCAACATTTTACAAACTGTGTTGACAGCAGTTGACATTTTCAGTTTGAATTAACAGCATCGGAGCTATAGAATCAGGCAACCAAGATATATTTTTAGTTTGAATTAACCACACTGCTTCAAGTTCGGCTAATTATCTATCCAAGTCTCAGTCAGCGAGGAGTCTTTGATTTTTTTCGTTGAACGAGGTCATGACATTCAGCTTCCTAGCCGAGTGAAGTGTTCTATGATTGGTTATTTCCAGGTACACTTTAGGATTCAACATTTTGATAGTCGAACAACATTCACTATCAAGGCGCTTATCTCTTTTGAGCATGTTCCCTTACAGTCTAATACCGATTTAGTGCATTTATACTCTCATGAATATAGTAGAGGTAGCCAAACATGGTACACAAGATCCTGAACTTCGAAGTGATTTAAGCAAACTAGTCTTCAGGTTTTAGAACTCAAGGTCAAGACGTGTTCCTTCCTCGACCGTGGTTGCTTGAGTGTAGAAGTCAACAACGCATTGACACCACCAACACATGAATTTTACTCGCCGACTGAGCTCGGTTGCAAGTTGACATACTTGTATCCATCAGAATGACGTAATTAGCTCATTCGTTATTTGGCTTGCGCACCATGTAGACTTAGTAATTTTTAAGATAAACACGATCGTCTTTCCCAAATCTACAAATTCCTATTTGTTCAGTTACAATGTGTACAAACGAACAGACAATTATATAGCTTTTTGGGACTAAATCCCTAGTGCCTCACTTTCACTCTGTTATTCCTCTCCCCCAAAAGTAAAAGTTTCATTGGAAACCCCCATAAGGGTCTTCTTATCTAGCCTTTCGGTGCTTAAATTCAACCAGTTTGATTTCCTTCTCTTTATCTTTCTCTTTTTGTTCTGATAACTTTGGGGCAAAGGCAATATAACCACTTCTGCAATCTGCACAAATTGTTCTGATATCCTCCCAGTGCTGCTGGAATGTCTCAGATATGCTCGAAGCACAGACAAAATGGGAAAGCTAAAGCTGCTGCTTCCGACTTCTCATTCCCACAATTCAAATTCCTTCTGAATTTTCGCTTTTTTTGACTCCGACTCTGCTGACATTCAGTGCCATTCTCGGCTCTCTGCTGGATTGTAAAGCCTTGTTTCAGGCACTTCTGTTTGAATTCGTTAACATTTTGTTAGTTGTTTTGGAGCAACCATGGCCATTGAGGTATGCTCGGAGATTTCGAGCCCCGGATTCAGTCCAAGAATTTCATTCTCCCATGATCTGGACAAGACGAATCATGACTCGAACCAAGGGCAACGGTTAGACTCTTCTCTCTTGGATTCCACTTCCGATTTCGACTTCTGCATTGTAAACAATCTCAAGCTGGAGTTGTCTTCAGCGGACGAGCTTTTCTCCAACGGGAAGATCCTCCCTGTCCAAATCAAGAGAAATCTCAACGCTGCCGAAGACACCCACCAGCCTGACGTTCCTCGCCAGGCTCGTGAGAGGGCGGCTCCTCGAGCCCTTGCTCATCACTCAACACCTCTAAATACAGAGAGGCTAAAAACAGAGGAGAAGAAGAAGAAGAGGTTGAAAGAATTTCTAGACACCAACGCCGATGCAGATGAAACCGACAACCCTCCAACAGCAAAGCCATTCTGGCAGTTCCGGCGGAGCAGCAGCCTCAACTGCGACGCTGCCCGCGGCAAGAACCTAATCCGCCCGCTGCAGTTTCTTTCGAGAAGCAACTCAACAGGGTCGGCTCCAAACCCAAATCAAAAGCAAGCATTGCCTGCAAAGGAAAGAACAACAACAATTCATCAGAAGCAGCAGCATTTGCGGAAACAGACGTCGGTTTCGAGTAGAAGATCGTCGTCTGCGTCCATGTGCTCGAGTACATATTATCCTTACAAAAACATGAATCAAAAGCCTGCGTTGAGAAGGAGTGGATCTTACGGCAATGGGGTTAGAAACAACCCTGTCCTGAACCTCCCACCGCCATACATTTCCAAAGTTACTGTGAGTTTTTTCGGGTTCGGTTCTCTCTTCTGTAGTGGTAAATTTAGAAAGAAGAAGAAATGACTACGAGTTAAATCTTCCAAGTACATATGAAATTGCTGTCTGCAATCTTGTATTATTAGCTAGCATGTGCATACTCTGTAAAATGAAGAAAATTTTAGCGGTAAAAAATGTGAGGAATTTTTTAAGGTTATGGGTAAATTTGATTGTTGGAAGGGTGAAAAGTAGATTGGAAAAAGTGTTAATGGAATTTGGATCCTCTTTGAAGCCTAAAGACCAGGAAATTCAGGTCTTTGGTTTGTGTGAAAGAGAGATCGAAGCTTATTTGTGTGAGGTAAGAGAGCAGAATAAGATAATGGGATCATGGATTCAATTTGAACCGTCCAAATTACCTGGTTCTTAGACTGTGGACAATAAAATCCAGGAATGATGGCTGTCCCAGTAAATGTGGATGCTTATCATGTTACTGGGTTAGGAGACATACGAACAACTCGCACATCCCCTTCTTTCTTTTCTGCTTTTTGATTCCTTTTCAGATTACTAAATAAGTAAATTTGACTCTCTTTTTCTTCTTTTGAAATTTGATAA